CAGCAACTGACTGCGTAAACCAAGCGGAGCCCCATCCGTGGGTTGTACACCACTTCCAGTCCATGGAAAAATATTTTGCCACGGAACTGGTTCCTGCTGCCCAAAAGGTTGGAGCCTGCTGGATTAGAGAATTGAATTTTAAATATTTCTTTAATATTAATTAATTATAATATTTAATATTTTTAATCATTTGAATTTATTTTTAAACAATAAATATATGTCTGTGGACAATTATCATGAAGTTTGGAATATTTTTTGAGGAATTCCATTAAGGACTGCATCGATTGAATCGGTCACAGCATATCAGGGGTGGGTTTCAACCGGTTCGCGGCGGTCCCTGCGAACCGGTTGGTCGGCGAAGTAACTTCCGGGAACGGCGAAGGGCCCACCCGCCTGCCCGCGCTCCTTACCCGATTTTGACGAGTTCTGCCCTTCCACGCATGCGCAGGACGCATACAGCGCCTGCGCGATCCTCCAGGAGCAGCTAGAGCATCGCACAGATGCTAGTACGCACGCGCGTGCCGCACGCATGCACGAGGATGCCGCCGGCCCCGTTCCAACCGAACCGGTTGGAACAGGGCGAGAAACCCACCCCTGCAGCATATATGCTATTTCTTTTTGGAAACAGTTTGTTTCCGAATTCTACTTGAGAACAATGTGAATGAAATCATGGATAAGAACCTGCCATTAGAGGCAAATATAAAACTATGAAGTCTTAAAATTAAGAAAGAAATAAAAAATATAATTCCAGAGAATAATGGGAATATGTAGTTCTTTATTGGTGATTTGCAAAAGAGACTAAGTATGGAAGTATGGAATAAAATTGTAACAAGGATCAACAATTATTGGAAACAAAAGATTGTTCTGTAAAAAAAAAATAAGATAAATTTGATATTTTTTTTACCATGGTTAAAATGGGACTTGTTATTCTATTGATTGTTTTTGGAGTTACAGATATTTTGATGTGAAAAATGTGACGTACTGGATTTGCTCATTTGATGTTTAAAGTTTTTGCTTTATAGCAATTTTTTTCTATGCTAATTGTTTAGTATTTAAATGATTAGTACAATTATGTGGAAGATTGTGGATCCCCCCCCCAAACTAGTTCTGTTTGTTACGTCAAGGTATTTTATATCAGTGAATAATTTAGAGCTGAGATGTAGAATGCTTATTTGAAAGGGATAGTTGGTATTTGGGACAGTTATCTCTGGAATGGTTGGCATTTGGAATGGGTTGTGTCCAAGAGTTTGTCTTTTGTTATGTTAAGATTTATGTTTGATTTGTTTATACGAGAAGATTGGGATCTTTTTATGCCTTTTAAATGGGATTTTACTTAGAGCTAAGGGTCAAGATGAGAAAAGTTGAACCTTTATATTTTAGAGCTTGTTTTGGACTTTGGATAAGGAGGTTTCATTTGATTTGTTTATTAGTTTTCTGAAGGCCTCTGACAGTGAATCGAAGGCCAGTGGGACAAGCTGCCACATAAGAGGTGGGCCGGCAAAGCCCGGCAGATGTTGGGAGCCGAGATGGTGCAGTGGTTAGGGTGCAGTACTGCAGGCCACTTCAGCTGACTGTTATCTGCAGTTCAGCGGTTCTAATCTCACCGGCTCAGG